CGGACATGGCTAAATCAACTTAGCTCGACGTTCTGATCATATAAGTATACATTTTAATGGGTCTATCTATTTTTGTTCTGGTACTTACAAACATCGGACCAAAGTTATAATACCATTTCATGCTCATGAAAGGTATAAAAATGTTATGCTTGTAAAAATGTAAAATTTTGACTAGTGTAATTTATTTGTTTAATACATGGGTACCATTTTATTGCTATAAAACCTTTCAATTTTTAGGTTCTATTATTTTCATAAAAGTGTGCTTTCACATAAATAGGTATATAATTCTAAAAAATAGATTACCTCGTAAATATTATCCATTATTTTTGGGTATAAATCCGCATTAAAATTTCTTATATACTTATATAGCTAGAATCAAATTATTCTGAAATAAAGCGTGTCATTTGTGTTCTCTTTATAAAAGTTCTAAAGCAATTTTAACTCATATACATATATATTACCATCATTTATTAACTCAAATTGTAGTCCTCATTCAGGGTCATACATTTTGTGTTTGGTTTGTAGCAAACGCATGCAAATAAAAATCTAAAAGCAAAGTGTATGAAAAACACGCTAATTTTGGCTTTGGGTATTTTTCGTAAAGTTCATACAAAAAATGTGGCAGGCGTGTGCCAGGATTACGAATAAAAAACAATCAACTGAGCATGCCGTTTTGCCATTCTATCCCAGCCGTATCGTAAGCAGATGTTTTGCGGAAGCTGTGCGGATGAAAACAAATGAAAACGATAATCGCTAACCGAACTTTTTCAGAACTTCTTTCCGAAACGCGTTGCTCTGTTTGCGGCTGGCAAACTACCGTTCTCAAAGGGTTGTACACGTCTCGTTAGCGGATCACTTCGTATAGTTTTTCAAACGTATGTTTTTCCCTGTCCCATTGCTATTTTGGTCTTCCCACATAAAAAAGGAAGAAGGATTTATTATACCCGAGCGCACTTGTGCACAAGGGTAACTTTGTTCACATAACGGTTGTTTGTAACAGGCAATACGAATCGAGACAGATATAGACAAATGTAAACATAAATAATCAGGATGAAAAGAGAAATCGATTACGCGGTGACTGTCTGTCCGTCCGTCTGTCCGTCCGTCTGTGCACACGATAACTCGAGTAAAAATTAAGATATCTTAACGAAACTTGGTACCTGTACTTCTTTCGGGCGTAGGACGGATGGTATTGAAAATAGGCAAAATCGGACAATAGCCACGTCTACCTCCCATATAACGGTAATTTTCAGAAATACGAAAACTGCGATATTTTACATGTGTATATCTTGGCAACCGCTGCACCAGTTTCTTCCAAACTTGGCACAGTTGTTCGCCTTGGTACAGCATACCAAATGGCCGAAAATTTCAAAAATCGGACAATAACCACGCCCACATTCCATATAAGGGTAATTTAGAGAAATAAGAAATCTTCGATAAATCAGTAAATATTAAAGCTAATTTATTAAAAATTGACGCTTGCAACAATTCTTTAGCAAAGAATACGTTTATGATAAAATTTTGGAAAATGGGCGTGGCACCGCCCACTTATGATCACATATATGTATCTCGCTAACCGTTCTACCAATTTGTACCAAACTCGGTATGGTTATTGTGCTTGCCACATAAAAGCAAAACGTAGAAAATTATCGAAATCGAACTAAAATTACGGAGCTTTTCATATAACGGTAAGTTTCAGAAATGCTTGAAACTTCAATATTTCGAAATTTAAGGACGCTAATTTACTCAAAATTAATACAGCCCGACTTACCAAGTCGCAGTAGCTTTCGGAAAGGTGAGAAACATATATTTAATATTTGCGCCGGCATTAAATGTTCCGCTCCGCCCGAACTTAGACTTTCTTACTTGTTATTTCTAAGATTGTCTCAGAGTGTTTTGATGTTCTTCTAAATATCTTCCGCTGCTGCCGCCTAGGGTTCATAGATTACCCTGGTACACAAATAGACTCAAAAATCTTAAAAATAAAAGAAACAAGTATTATACACTACGTTAAAGTCAGCTTGATAATGTTAATCTCAAGGCTAAATATATCTCGTTCATGAGAAAATTTAACATCTTGGATACATTTCTTTATAACAAGTATATTAGTAAATTTGAGACTGATTTGAAGGAAAATCCCAAGGCCTTCTGGAGCTTCATCCATTCCAAATCGGGCTCCTCAAATATACCTTCCTGTATGTACTATAATGGTAAGAGTTCTGAGTCGATTAGTGATACTGTCGAATTTTTCGCTGAGTTTTTTAAATCAAATTTTGTCGCTGATGACAACCCCTCCAGGTTTCCAGTAAATTCTTGTCCTCCACAAGGTTTAGACTTTGGATCGATGTCTTTGACAGAATCTGACATTATCAGAGGCATATTCTCTCTTAAAAAGTCTTTTAAATGTGATACCGACGGTATTTGTCCCTTTTTCCTTGAGCAATGTCATTCCTCCGTTTGTGTTCCACTGTGTATGATCTTCAATCTCTCTCTTGGTTCAGGGGTTTTCATCGAGCGCTGGAAAGTAGCGTTCATCACGCCCATCTTCAAGTCAGGACGTAGGTGTGATGTTTCTAATTACAGACCTATCTCTAAATTAATTGTTTGCTCCAAGTTTTTTTGGGAAGGTGGTATTGGAGAAACTATCTTTTGCCCTAAAAAGTATCGTGAATCCTCGTCAGCATGGTTTTGTCGGTGGTCGTTCTACCGTAACGAACCTCGCTGAATTAAATTTTATGAATTTTGTGTATCTGCGTTCAGAAATGGGTACCAAGTGGACAGCATCTATACAGATTTCTCCAAGGCGTTTGATAAGGTATCGCATTCAATTTTGCTTCGTAAATTAAGAAGCATTGGTTTCCATTCGGTTTTCTTAAATTGGTTAAAGTCATATCTTTCAAATAGAACCCTGTTTGTTGAAATTGAAAACTGCAGGTCTTCTCAATTTGCCGCTACTTCGTGGGTGCCCCAAGGCAGTGTCCTTGGTCCGCTGTTGTTCGTCCTGTTTATTAACGATATCGGGTCCTGTTTCAGTAATATTCAATAAGTATGCCGATGATCTGAAACTGTTTCGTAAAATCAATTGTGTCTCCGATTCGCGGTTACTTCAAGAAGATCTGTTTAATATCGAAGTATGGTGCCAAAAAAATATGTTATCCCTCAATATAAAGAAATGCTTCCATATGACCCTAAAATTTTTCTAACTCTATATTTCAAATGTACAACTCGCTTCTGTTAATGACTTTGTTGATCTTGGTGTCGTTTTTGACTCTGGGTTCACCTTTGTTAATCACATATGCTATATTCTTCCGAAGGCTTACAGGAACCTAGCTTTTCTGCGAAGGCATGCCAAGGATTTTAAGGATCCCTATACAAGGAAAACTCTCTTTAGCTCTCTTGTTCGTTCAAAACTTGAACATGCCTCGGTTATCTGGAGTCCTATTTATAATTGCCATGCATTTCGTATCGAACGTGTCCAGAGAAAATTTATTCGGTTTGCCCTTCAGCCGCTTCGATTCCCTGACCCTCTTCCGCCCTATATAGCTCATTGCAAGCTTATAGATTTAAACTCTCTTGAGTGTAGAAGACATGTCCTTATGTTTGTTTACGACTTGATTTCTGGCGTCATTGATTGTCCGGAATTACTTGTGCATATCGGTTTCAATGTCCCGAGCAGAATATTGCGGTTTGTCCCGCCGTTTTATGTTATCCCTGCTAAAGCTAATTATTGGGCTCAATGCCCGATTTGGATGATGCACTTAATGCAATTTCAAAAAATTTAAATCTTGAATTTTCTATTAGTAGGCAGTCTTTCAGAAGTTTAATGGAATCTGTGTACTCCTGGTGTAGTTCTTAATTTTTTACCTATTAGCTTTATTCTAGTCTGTAAGATTCTTTGTAATCATAGACTCAATAAACACTGAATTGAATTGAATTGAATGATATTGACACTCTTTTGAAATTTGGACAGATTTTACACAGCAATTTCCAAAATTTTTACACATAGCTTATCAACATAGTGAAATAATATAAAGTGTGCCAGCCAGTTTGATGCTTATCTAAAAAAAAAAATGAGTTTGTCATATTCGCTTTTTCCAATTCTGCCATTAACCCGTGGTTTTGTTGCATACCCCTACCCGATTTCTGCTTAGATCCTCATCCTGAGGGACTGAAAACATCAGTACTGCAACGTTATATATGTATGACTGCTTTTGAACAAGCGTCAGTTTATGTAAAAAGTGTACCAGTATCGACAGGGTCACCAGTGTCGCCAGTGTCACCAGTTGCACCAGTTGTTGGTGACACTGGTGAAACTGGTGACACTGGTACACTGGCAGAACCGAAGCCGTCCGACACTGGTACACTGGTGACACTGGCGACACTGTTGAAACTGGCGACACTGGCTATACTGGTGACACTGGAGAAAACTGGTGACACTGGCGACACTGGTGACACTGGCGACACTGGTGACACTGGCGACACTGTTGAAACGGGCGACACTGGCTATACTGGTGACACTGGTGACACTGGCGACACTGTTGAAACTGGCGACACTGGCTATACTGGTGACACTGGAGACACTGGTGACACTGGCGACACTGGTGAAACTGGTGACACTGGTGACACTGGCGACACTGGTAGAACTGGTGTCACTGGCGACACTGGTGACAATGGTGACACTTATGACCAGGGAACGGATTTTATGGAAATTGCCTTTTTTCTGCTAAAGAGATAGAGTATATTCGATTAAGAATGTCCACGATTTAGCTTTCCCTGATTCCATATATACACTTTTGATGTTGCCTTTTTTTGCCTTTTTTAAGATATTTGCCTTTTTTTGCCTTTTCTACCTTTAAAAAAGTGATTATAGCATTTACAACTTTTTTTTTTAAGATTAAAAAATATACACATGCCCATGCGGCTTATAGAAGCGCAGGGACCTCTTGCCAAACGGTGTTTCTCAGCTAACGTAGACTTGAAGACAATAAAATTTTAAAAGGCGAGGAAAACGCCCTTATTTCTGATAATATGAACGTTTCAAACGTTCCATATTTAAATTGGGCTCCACTTGTATCAACTTACGTCGAGCGCACATTTAGTACATTCAAGGCTTTTCTTCGCGAAAATCGAATGAAAATGCTGCCAGAAAACTTCAAAATGCATCTTGTGGTTCAATGTTACTACAACTATACAGATTAAAGTTTTATGAGTTAGAAACNATTATATTTATCGTTTAGCAATAAGTTTTCTAAAAGCTAAACGAAATGAAAAAATATTTTTTATAACAGGAAAAACTAAAAATTTGAGAAACTGAAACAAGATGAATCAAAAAAGTTTCCAAACGTTAAATAAAAAAAAATATAAATTTTTTAAGCAATAAAACTAAAGAAAAATTTATAAAAAAATTCGATGCCGAGGATTGAACTCGGATCTCTTGAATGGCTCGAAAGTGCTCTGCTCACTGGGCCATTGCCATTGTTACAGCAACTTTATCGAAATTGAAATTTATTGAAAACAAAGAAAAAATTTCAAAATCATTCGTTAAAAAGTTAAGTAAAGGTTTTTGTTTACTTAACTTTAATGTTCATTTAATGCCGTTAACGAATCATTAACCGACTCTGAGAGGGAATTTTTTCAAATCGCTACTGAGGGACACCTTAAGTAATCATTAAACGACTCTGAGTGCGGCTGTGAGTGCGGCTGAAAGAGTCAAAGTACAAATTTTTCATATAATGAAACTAGTAGTTCATAGTTTTTCTCTTTTTACTTGTAATATAAAAATTTCTAAAATAAATATATTTTTTGATTGTTCTTCGTATTTTCTGTCTTTTTTTATTGCCTTATTTTGCTTTTTTGGCAATACCTTTGTTTTTGCTTTTTCCTGCCTTTTTCGCTATTTTGTTTTGCCTTTTTTGCAATACCTAGTGCCTTTTCCTGCCTTTTTCGCTTTTTTATTTTGCCTTTTCCAGCCTATTTCGTTACTTTATTTTGCCTTTTTTATAGGTTTTTAGGTCCCAAAAATCCGTTCCCTGCTTATGACACTGGCGACACTGTTGAAACTGGCGACACTGCCGGAGGCAAAGACTGTCGACACTGGTGACACTGGGGATACTGGTGACACTGGCGACACTGGTGAAACTGGCGACACGGTGACACTGGCGACACTGGTGACACTGGAGAAACTGGTGACACTGGCGACACTAGGGACACTGGTGACACAGGTGACACTGGTGACACTGGCGACACTGGATACAATGGCGACTCTGGTGACACTGGTGATACTGGCGCCACTGGTGATACTGGTGAAACTGGCGACACTGGCGGCACTGGTACATTGGCGGAACCGAAGCCGTCCGACACTGGTACACTGGTGACACTGGCAAAGTGCGAATAGACACTCCCTAAAGTCAATGCGTATTGTAGTGATTGTCAAAAATGATGTTACATTTGTTCATGTTTGTTATTGTGCGTATAGATTTTTAGAGTAGTGTTTGTGCTCCTGCTATCGCCTTGAATGAATTCGTTTTTCGTTTATATACTCTGATGAACATATGTGAGGATGATAGCAAAGCGAACTCATATAAGTTAGTGTTACAGGAGCAGTTGAAATTTTCGCCCCGGTGTTTCTTAAAGAAAGCCATAAACCAAGGTGGTGTTGGGCGACAGCTGAGTTTTTCGCCGTGGAGGCCATCACGTCAAAATGATGTGTTTGTTGTAACTCATACCAATGACAGTATGGACATCTGCGTATAATTTGTTAGTGTAATTTTTTACTTATATACGGCTAGCACTACCTTGTTAAATACGCCTTGCCATAAACGTAGCGACCAAGGCGAATTTAAAAATGTGCGAAATTCAGTGTTTATGGGAGGCGCCACGCCCCCTTTTACAATAACTCCCATTTTTTCCATGAGTTTGGCGTTGATATTATATATCTCTATACTAAGTAGCAGCAGTCTACGATGAATACTTCCAGAGACATGTTGTGTGAAAACTTTAGTTTGTATGGGAGGTGCCACGCCCCCTTGATATATCGAAATTATTCTTCTTCGTTAGGAAGGAGGGCCTGCAGCGAGCTGAGATAACAGGTGGCGATCCACAAGGATCCGTACTAGGCCCTTTACTATGGAACATTATGTATGATGGAGTTCTTCGTACCGAATTATCCGAAGGATCATCCATAGTAGGTTTTGCAGATGACATTGCGGTAGTAGAATCTGCGAAACTTCTTGATGTCATATGCGAAAAGGTAGCATCATCAGTCGGCGTGATTAAAAGTTGGTTAAATAGTTTCGGTCTGAAGCTAGCCGAGCAAAAAACAGAAGCAATACTTATCTCGAGTCGTAAGAAACTAGTGGAGGCAGCGCTAAAAATTGGCGACACCATCATGACGAAACCCACAATTAAATACCTGGGAGTGGTGCTAGACAAGCGTCTTANTTTCGGTCTGAAGCTAGCCGAGCAAAAAACAGAAGCAATACTTATCTCGAGTCGTAAGAAACTAGTGGAGGCAGCGCTAAAAATTGGCGACACCATCATGACGAAACCCACAATTAAATACCTGGGAGTGGTGCTAGACAAGCGTCTTACTTTCAGCGCCCAATTGAGCTATGTGAGCAGCTTCAACGATCACGGGACTATCGCAAATAATGCTTACTAAGCGGGGACCGAAACAGCGCAGGCGTTTACTCTTAGCGAGCGTGGTTAAAAGCCAAAAAGTATGTGGCCCCAATTTGGTCAAACGCGGCACAGTGTCCAGCATACTACCGCGGAGTCAACTCAACATACCGTTTATGCGCGCTCCGAGTTTGCAGCGCCTTCAGAACAGTGTCGGACGAAGCAGATGTCGTAATCGCCAGTATGATACCCGTAGATACACTGGCGAGAGAATCGACGGTCCTTGCATCTACGCCGCGTACTCTAACTCAATTAGACCGACGTGAAGTTCGGAAGCAGCATTACGGAGTGGCAAAATATGTGGAATAGTACGACTAAAGGTCGTTGCACCTATCACTGCATACCCAATCTGGTATCCTATCTTAGTAGAACGTATGGCGAAGTAGATTTTTATCTCAGTCAGTTCTTGAGTGGTCATGGCTGTTTTAAGGTATACCTGTTTAAATTCACACATGAGCACGACCCGTACTGCGACTTCTGTCGAAGTGGCGTGGAAGAAGATGTCCAACACGTATCTTTGAGTGCCCTCGATTCCATCGGCAGATGAACCAACTGAAACTAGCTGTTGGAGGCGTGTTTACGCCACAGTCAGTAGTCGACTATATGGTGAAAAGAGCCCGTGAATGGGCATCAACTAGCGACACACTAACTTCAATTTTGCAAGAACTGAGGGACCTAAAGAGACAGCGGCGTATCACCCGTGATTAAGTTAACTCTTTGCATAGCCGCGGACTGGAACCAAACTATGATGTTCACCAACCAGAGTGTAGGCGCGGACTGGAACCTAGGCCGTTCCAGCTGCTCGAGCAAGACAGCTTAGAAACTTGTGCTTTCAGACCGTCCCTTCAACATGAATCATACCAATTAAAGCGTAAGCGCAGACTGGAACCTAGGGCGTTCCAGCCGCCCAGATGGCAATCTCGAAAATTTGCGCAATCGAAAATAGGCGCTGACTGGAACCTAGGGCGTTCCCGCCCCAAATAAAGTTCAGTTTCGAATTTCGGGCGCACGGGGCGTTGGTGCAGATTGGACCCTAGACTAAAGGCAGTATACATACGTATACGGGCCTGAAACTCGTCTCTTATGCAAGCCTGCTCAATGCAATGCCAGCGTCAAAAAGCAGGCATAAGGCATTCCGTAATTTGAAGGTATTTGTACTTACTGTCTATAAAACGAAGATAATAAGTTGTATCTAAGAGATAAACAAATAAATAGTTTAAAACAAAAAAGGGCATTTCTCTTTAAACAAGACGTGGGAAAGCCTACTAGGTGTAGCCCAGGACTGAGTACAACTGACTGGAACGACCGTGCGAGCCTAGTACTCAACCGCCTCCCGACGAAATTCGTGAGGGTGGTACCGGGGGGTTCGGTACTTGGACAGTATGAGGTTTAGTGAAAGTGCAGCATTTAACCCTTTAATGCAGAGTCTGTCATATATGAAACGCTTTTTAATATTTTAATTTTTTTATTTTATTTATTTTTATTTTTTTATTATTATTTTACTATGGAAAAATTTTTTACGATTACTATCCACGTCAACATGAGAAAAAGCACGCTCAAAAGCATATTGAGAACCTCCTTCCTCTGCCTTGAAAGGGTTAAAAAGCGTTTCATGTATGACAGACTCTGCATTAAAGGGTTAAATGTTGCACTTTCGTAAAGATATCGACTAGTATAACCATTTTTATTATATCAATTATTTGTGAAAGCTGATAGTTTACGAGTTATTAGAGTTTAAAGGAGCTTTTCTTTTTCCAATCTGGCCACTCCGGTACAGCATCCAATGTCCCAAAAATCAAGTCTTAAGATAAAATAAAGAGAAATCTTTCAGAAACAGTGCTAATGGTGTATTAAATATAGTGTTTTCTAATAGAATTGGAGCCAAAATCCAAAACTTAAAAAAAAGTGAAATTTTGGACGGTATTTTGAGGGTAAAGTTATTGTTGTTGTAACTTCTCTATAGTTTTTCATTACATAACGTTATATGATCATTTATCTTCACGATAAAACAAAATTTCATTCCATTATCTCTTTTCTAAGCGAAGATCTACGATTTTGAAAAAAAACTCGTGTTTTACCTATAGTGCGCTGCTTTCAGCGTTTATTTTACATGATCTATAAGCCTTATATAAGGTAATTATACACCAAATGATGCCTTATTATAAGGGATTATTAAAGAGAGCAAACCTTATGAAATGATGACATCAACACAGTGAAATGTGGTGTTGATTCAAACTGAACATTTAAAAGCACATGTACATGTATGGCTGTAGCTGAGTGTGCAAATATGCTTGATACAATCGGTTGCTGCCAAGACTGTCCGGGTTCAATTCTCATCAGACGGACCACAAAATTTAATTAAATTTTTTTAATTTTTTTTTTAATCTCTCTGAGAGAGAAAAAGTTAAACCTGATTCCCAATGACATCAATAGGGCAAAATCAGGTGTAAAATAAAGGTTGTGCCATACAACTTCTATTTCTCCCATCGTCATCATTTCATAAGGTTTGCTCTCTCTCTCTCTGAGAGACCCTTATGCCTAAGCCTTATAGGCCATTTAAAAAAAGGCTTTAATAATCCCTTATAATAGGGCATCACTTGGAGAATACTTACCTTATATAAGGCTTATAGAGCATGTAAAATAAACGCTGCAAGCAGCGCCGCTAGCAAATTCCTTATTTCTTACAACTTCTTATATAATTTTTTGGCGAGTTGTGTGTATTTGTTATTGTATTTGTGCTTTTGCTTGTGTGTATTGCGGTGGTTGCTAGCGCAATTGACACTGTGTACACTATGAAGTGTACAGTATTTTCATTGTACGCTTTACACTATTGTCTTTATTCAACAGTGCACAATGGTTTTGTGAATAGCTGTTTCTAGATTCTCTGTATTCGCTCTACACTCAACTTCAAAGACAACGACAATCAATACACGCTTTTGAGACGAAGGCATTGTTGTACACTTTTAAACATCTTGCGCACATGTCCAATATGTACATATGTATGCTGCGCGGTTTAAACTAATGTGTAATAATGAATATTATCTCGAACATATGTACATATGTATATTAAAAATGCAACACCTGAAGCGATGGTTTTATGAGGTGTAAAATATAATGAACACACCTCTATTTTTTTTAAACGACCCTCAATATCTTTCGCCGAAGGAACGTAGGGAAAGCAGCTGTGACGTAGCGCTACCGGAAATACACTCCAACAAGACTGGAACTCATCAATCACGTTGTGATAGCTTAATAAACAATAAACCAATTTACATTAAACAAAATTTATAAATAAAAAAAAACTAAAAATTTACTTAAAAATGGCACCAGTGAATTAAAATTTTTTACATTTCATTCCACACTCTCATCCAAGGCGAATACATATAACGTGGTATCGATTCAACATATCGTCACTAGACATGAATAAGGACGCGAGCTCAAAAGTTGACCGCGAAAAAAGGCGCATAAAAAACTTCAGCGAAGAAAGACTCTTAACATAGTTGACGGCGAAGAAAGACGCGTTAAAATATTTGACGGCGAAGAAGGACGCGTAAACTTATTTTCGCAGTCAACTATGTTTGCGGTTGTAATAGTATGTACATTCCGTAAAGAGTTTTTGGCGAATAATGCTGAAGTGACAGTCCTTGGCCAAGTATAAATCTATGATTACGCGTCTTTCTTCACCGTCAACTAGGTTACGCGTCTTTCTTCGCCGAAGTTTTTATTAAGCGCCTTTTTTCGTACAAATTTTGTATGCGTCTTTTTTCGCCGTCGAAACACTAGCGCGCCTTTATTCGTCTCTAGTGACGATATACTACAATTACTTGTATTTTGTTTTTGCTTTTAGCGGGCCATTGTCAAATGTCTGCTATTCTTCCCCGAATGAAAAAGGGCGACTGAAAATACAAACACTCTCACGTTTTCACCTACTTAATAGCGAAATACAAAATTTTTACAATCAAACGCTACTCACAGCTAATGAAACAATACCACCTTATATAAATTCGCCTTGCTCTCATTCTCATTTTTACTCTTTGACGTTTTAAAGCTTGACGTTAAATTGGCTTCTACGTTTTTTAATGTACCTTGCATATAAACGGAATTTACAAATTTTAGTAATTAAAAAAAAATCATACTTACATTGCAATAGCTTTTGGAGTTAAGTATAGGCCATATGTTTTTATCATCCCGAAAATTGTATGGAGTAGTTTGTAATATCGAGTTTGTTGAATAACGGTTCCGACAAGAAATAATATCTTTTGTTTTGCGTATCTGAATGAAAACATCATTAGTATCCTCTAATGAATAGTTTACATTACATTCTCCTGAAGTATCTGTTTCTGTTGTATTAAAATCCACATCAAAACGCGACATTGTATTTTGAAAAGCTGACAATATACCCTTTTTAAAGTTTAACGCCCAAACAGATTCTTTAGAGTTTGGGCATACTTCAGTAATTAAACCATCTTCAAACGAGAAACGTAATAAATGTTCTTGTAGATCTCTTGCCATTTCGAAACTTTTTGGGTGCATATCATCATTATCATCACGAGTTTCTGCATGTGTCGTTGAGTCTGAAAATTCTCCATAGTAATCATCTTCATTTGAACTTATGGCTTCGATGTCATTGTAATTGGGAATGTCTATTTTTTTTTGATTGACTTGAGTATCCCATAGTTTAACATCATTTATTCGAAGAAATCCTTCACAAGGTTTTGGGAAAAATACGTCTAAAGTAGCCTTTAGAAAAAGGCTCGATGTATTACCGCCAGTGCCAGAAAACTCTGTGGTCAAATCGATGTGGTATTCGTATTTATATATCTTATCCCTAAAACTGAATTTTTTGTAAAAAGCATCGCATTGCGGAGACCCGCAAATATTTGGATTGCGGAAGGGATCTGTAAACACACAACTTTAATCAGTAAATCTATAAACTGCTAAAATTAAATATTCATCTCTACTCACTTTTACTGGCAAGCGAAATTTTTAAATGAATCGATATCAAAGCAACTATTAAAAGCTGTCGAATTAATTTAGTTGTGTATGGATTCGGCGAACGATTAATTTCAGTCATGTTGCTAGGGCTTCCTTAAAATTTGTATTTCTTTACTGGAGTAAAAGTAATGACTTGTGAGGTATTATTCTTTGTATACCGAAATGCTTCACTTTACTCCACACATGACAATGCCTGAAAAATATGGTACATATGTATGTATAAGCAATATTGAACGAATATGATAGAAATAAATATATAAATATCATGTATTCTTTGAGCATAATTTTCTTCTTAATTGTTAAGTTAAATTAACACGATGACTTCACCCTGGGTCATGCGTGTCGAGCTTGTTGGCAAGAAGTGTAGGGAAGTCAGCGGGGTAGGCAAGCAAGCACGGTCAGCGAAATCGAGGGCAGTTTTTGACGTTTAGCTTTTATAGAATTCACTTTTCCGTATTTTTACTTTGAATTTGCGATTCGCTCCGCTTTGAAAATGGGGACGAAAGAGTTGGACAAAGAAAATTTCACGCTTAAATGTCAAAAAAAAAACGCAAGAAACGCCGAAAAGAAAAAGTCATCGTGTAAATGCACGAGGGCTTTCGAAGACTTTTTTAAAAGGGAACGTACAAAAAACGCAGGGTGGAAAGTCATCGTGTAGATTGGCTCATTGCTAAAATTTTAGGTTCACCTAGGGTGAAACTCTTATAAGTAATGCTGGTATATTTTTTTCACACAAAAAACAAGATTTTTTACGGTATAAATTTTGCGGTCGAAGTCACAGGGCATAGTTAAACCATTGTTTACATAAGCGCAAACAAGAGTTTTACTATTAGTTGGAGAGCCGACTGCTTGAAAATATATTGATTTGCTTGACCTTAGTTTGTCAGTCCAAACAGGAATCTTTATTTACGGTTGATGGATAGCTCGTTTCCAATGGATGGTGGCAAGAAAGTGGCTGACTTACGTGTAATGATTTTGTATTACCGGCTTATGGTGACTCAATTGCTGTCAAATGAATGGTCCAGATTTGATGCTCACAACTTCTTTATTCTACGCAACAACATGGCTGGGGATTCGTCGGAAGGAATGTGACGGCACACTTTTGTCTCTATTAACTCGATACAAGAAAAAAAGGCTTTTTACAGTCAGCCTTTTTCCTTATATTTGCTTGGACGCAGTCGATTTCCCTTTCCACTTTCCACTGAGGGGTGAGTATCGACTCCCCGAATGTCGCCAGCTTTTAATACAAGCTTTTAATACACTTTAATTACTTGGTTGTAATTCCGTTCTTGCGAGGGCTGATGAGTGTGGTTCGCTCCGTGTCCAATTCGGAAAAAGGAAATATATTTTTCTAGCCTCGTGTTATGTGACCACCGATTCTTTTATCGTATGCCAGTTTGGGCGTTTTCATAGTGGCCATGTCAATTCGTGTCTATACTGATATAATGGTTCGTGTCTTGAATAACTATTGGTTACGTACATTCATCTGGCAATCCCCCCCATTTTGAAGTTTAGCTTTGACAGTTTTGTTATGTTTACATTTGTCATAATCGTTCTTATGTCTATTATTTGGCCAATAAAACTAATAGATCAATATTGCACATTGTCCTGAAATCAAATAACCAAAATTCAATAGTTGGTATCTAGGGCAACTTCAAATCACCGACTCGCCAGGTCCTAGCGTGGCAATCGTGTGCTGGCCATCGTGCTCTGGCACAAAACTGTAAAATTTCGAAAGATTTGAACGTGCTTATTTCAAAAATAAGGAATTGCCATCTCATATCCTGACAGAAGTCCTTGGCAAGTCGGATTGAAAAGAGCGGATTTTTCAAAATATCACGGTGACCTTGGATAAGGTTTGAACCACCCAGTTTTCTTCACATTCTCATTCTGTCATTATTTTTGAGCTTCTATGGAAGGTTTCGAAAGATATCTCGATTATCTTTAATTTTTCGTAGCATAACTTTTCTAAATGAATTAAAAATCATGCCACAGTAAAAATGTTATCCGTCAAATCATCGCCTATCCATCGCAAATAATATTCATTTAACTTAAGTGCAAAAAGAATTTGCTTGAGCTTAAATGATGATGAGTCACCATACCTTTTAGTCTGACTGTAGTGATTATTATATTAGTTTGTGAAAACCCAATGGGGTATAGTCGTTGCGCTTCAAATGCAGTTACAGTTGCATGGCTATACTCAATCCCGACTCTTGCGTCCTCGTTCGCACACTCTGGGCAACGTGAGAAACCTATGTGCGAGATGCGGTAACCAATCCGAGTGGAGCCTTGGGTCACGGCAGAAAGAGAGGGAGCTTCGGTGTGGCCACTCCGACTTATTCGGTTTAAGGGCTCACTGAAGTCTGCAGCGTCTGTTCACCAGTAGGTGCGGCTGCAAGCGGGTGTCTGCTTGGAGCAAGCGGCTCGCTATGTAAATGTGTATTTGGTTGCGAAACCACCCCCG